GCTCACTGCCCCCAGTGTTCACTCTGCAGTGTAGCGACCCCCCTGTTCACTGCCCGCAGTGCTCACTCTGCAGTGTAGTGACCCCCCCGCTCACTGCCCCCAGTGTTCACTCTGCAGTGTAGCGACCCCCCTGTTCACTGCCCGCAGTGCTCACTCTGTAGTTTATTGTGCCTCCTCTCTGCCCCTTCGTTTCCTCATTCTGGAAAACACTTCCACTCCTGGCACTTTCCGTTTTCCTGCTACAACCAATCCCTGACCTTGCTGTAAGTCCGGGTGAAAGGAAGCTTTATATCAAATTTGGTGGCCCTAAAGCTCTTACCCTTACGGAAGAATTCTTGAACAAATGGAGTCACAGACAGGCAGATGCACAAACTCTCTTATATATGGCTATGTCTACACTCATGGCTTCTTGTGCAAGTATGGCCATTCTTGCACAAGAATCCGTAGAGTATCCACACTGCCCACCCACTCTTGCACAAGGAAATTTACAGTAGTGCATGGTAAGAGAGAGCTTCTTGTGCAATAGCTACGCTCTTTTTTAACAGGTGTAAGCCCTCTTGCACAGGAGCTCTTGAGCAACAGCGCAGTGTGGACGCTCGGCAGGGATTTCTTGTGCAAGAAAGCCCTATGGCTAAAATGGCCACCAGAGTTTTCTTGCGCAAGAGAGCATCCACACTGCTATGGGCGCTCTTGCGCAAAAGCACAGCTCGCACATGGCAGGGTGGACGTTTTCTTGCGCAAGACTTTTTGCACAAGAACCCTTGCGCAAGATGTTCTTGCGCAAGAAGCCCCCAGTGTAGACATAGCCTATGTGTGTGTCTGTATGTGTGTGTACAGATATATAATTTGCTCAATTAGCTGATTGGTCTGTAATTGTCCTTATTTTGATCTCCACAGGTGAGTAGTATATTTGTCTCTTTCCAGTCTTCTGGCATCTGCTGATATTCTATGACTCTTCAAAGAGCTAATGGCTCAGATCTCTTCAGTCCGCTCCTTGGGCGCTCTAGGATGCATTTCATCCGCTGAAATAGCTTAAGCGCCTTGAGTTTATCACTCTATGACACAGTTTCCAATTTCTCCTGGCTCTTCTCTGAACTCATTAAATTTTATCAACAGGGTTTTTTAACTGGACACAGCATCCCAGCCGTGGCTGTGCTGTTGGGAAACAACTTTCCACGTTTTCTCAAGATTCTCCTGTTTATGCATTCCAAGGTCTCATTAGCTGTTTTGGCCACAGTGTCACCATGATCCCCGTACCTTTTCCAGAGTCACTGTTTTCCAGGATAAGGTCTCTACTGTGCATGTCAGGAGTATTCTTTGTCCCTCGCTGGGTATATGTACATTTAGCCACATTAAACATGTCGTTTGCCAAGTGACTCCGATCATTTTGAATCAGTGACCTCGTCTTTTAATTGTTTACTACTCCTCCAATTTGTGTGTCATCAGAGTTGATTCTGTGTTTTCTTCCAGGTCATTAATAAAAGGGCCAAAGAGCGTACACTGGAAACACGCTTCCTCGATGACACTTCCTCGTTGGCCATTGCCATTTCAGACCAACCTGCTGTCCAGAACTCTGTTTCCTGCACCTTTCAGAAGTGGTGCAAAGCTTGCAGGAGTGGGGTCATGGAGGAACTGAGGCAGAGGGAAGGAGGAGTGGACCTGAAGGGGTCTTAGGTGTAGTGTGACCCCAAGCCTGTTCCATTCAGTGAGGCACATCTGTCCTCTCCCCACACCCACCCATCTTCATGAGTGTGTCCAGTCTCCTCCCTCACCTCCACGTGGCCTCCCTTAATCCCCTGGCTCCATGTTGTCACCCCCACTAATTCCTGGGCCTGGGCCCCAGAAAGAGGACCTGGATGTTATAGAGGCCAACACACAGACAACAAGAAAACCACATGCCCAAGAATTGTTCTTGAGGGATCAAAAGGGGGACAATGTGGAGAAATCCCTGAGATGATATATTTTGTATTAAGATCTTGTCCTTTTAAATCTATCTTTGATAAGTGTTCTTATAGAATCTCTGTAACATTTCTCCTAGAACTTTGTATTAAGATATCTAGATCTTGTAAGAAAAAATGTCTTTTGAGCTCTCCCCTTTCCTTGACTGCCCTGTTGAAATGAATGAGGTGTGAATGGAGACTTAAAAGGGAGCACCTCCAGCAGCAGTTGCCAGGGTGGAGAAGGTCTGGGAGCCAGATCCAAGACAATATCCGCAAAGTGAGCTCATTAAAAGGACTGGACAGACAGAGGCCTTGGGAGTCCAGCAGCAAGTGCCGGCCCTTGGAAGAACTCTCTCTGAAGCAGCATTAAGAAAGGCGAGGTGATGACTAATTGGCTGCATGAAAAGGATAAATAGGAGGCATCTTGCAGAGGGACCCTGGGTTTTCGTCTTGTTAACATGGGAGCATCGATCAGGATCGGCTCCACCCCCTCTCCCATCTAACTCACCTGGCCAGTGCAGTTAGGGGGAGCAACTTTTGGTAACAACAAGATGGAGTGTGCGTGTGCGAGAGTGCGTGAGTGTGATGTATCATATGCATATGATAAGTGTGGATTATTCTATGTGTGATCAATAAATGTGGCATGTTGCCTTATCCCCCTGAAAAAGATCCCGAGTACTTCTTTTAAGTACAACACCCCCTCTTCCTCCTCTCCAGCCCAGCAGCCCCCGATCCCCCCCCAC